TTTATATATATATATATATATATATATATATGTATATATATATATATATATATATATATATATATATATATATATATATATATATATATATCAACAGAATTATATATATTAAACTGTCTTTAGAAATAGCTTAGCAGCTGAATTTTGAACTTTTTGCCGTTGTTTTATGCAGTGTTTTGGTGAACCTGACAGAAGAGTTGCAATAGTCAAGGCGAGAGAGAACAAGAGCACAGACTAGAGTTTTTGTAGTGCTAACTGTGAGGTAGTGGCGTATGGAGCTGATCTGATGGATAGTGGTGTATGCTGAATGACAAATGTGAGATATGTGTTTATCGAGAGACATGTTGTTAGAAAGAATATAACCAGATTCCTAGCAGAGACTGTAAACCGTATGTCAGAGTTACCTACTTGAAATGAGGTAGGAAGAGTTGAGTTTAGAGGATGATGTGTGATTGTGAATGAGGAATGCTTCCGTTTTGTCATCATTAAGCTTCAACTTGCTGAGTGTCATCCATGACTTGACATCATCAATGCACCCCCGCAAAGTCTGGACAGCGGATTCAACAAGAGAAGGATTGGTATGCTTGTATAGATGCGTGTCATCTGCAAATGACTATCTCTCAACAGGATGCCTCCCAAGTAAGAGGAGCAGTGGTCTGGTATACAATGTGAATAGAATCGAACCTAAAACGGACCCCTGTGTCACTCCGTACACCAAATCAGCACTGCCTGTGAGAAAACCATCGACAGAGACCGCCTGCGTTCTATCAGACAGGTAGGACCTAAACCAAGTCAAAACTGAACCAGAAATCCCAAAGTAATTTTCAAGGGTTTTGAAAAGGATTACATTGTTAACAGTGTCAAAGGCCGCACAAAGGTCTAAGAGGATCAGGATGGAGATATCACTACCGTCCAATGCGAGCAAGAGGTCATTGGTCACTCTCAAGAGAGCCGTCTCTGTGCTGTGGAAATGTCTATAGGCCGACTGATTAGAACACTAAGCTAGAAGTAGAGATGTGTTAATCCAGCGTATTTTAATTTATCGACAATTAAAATATTTATTTGCATACATAAAAATAATTTGTAATGTGTAGTAATGAAAAAAGATAATTTTGTAATGCGTATTTTTTTTAAATTTTATAAATCTTAAACATGTTCACTTTGAACATGTTTTTTTTAAATTTTAATTTTTAAATTAAAATAATTATTATTGAATACAAACATTTATAAAAACTATACCTATATTCCCATATCTTTGCAAAGTATGATGATAAAAATATGTATATAAACTGTAAAGAGAAAGAAAAAATAATTTGATTGGAACTTTTTTTTACTATTTGAATTTTTGACTGGCAAATTGATTAAAAGGTATGAAATCTTTCAGTTCAAGTTGTTTTCCTCCTAAGTATACCGATCATTAACGATAGTATACAATTTTACACCTCTAGCTGTGATTCTAAGATATATAAGATACTAGATAGAGCCCGCCAAACATTTGCTTCGTGAGCTTCCCATTGTGACAAAATATGAAAACTAGTAATGCGCATTTAAGACTCCCAATATTTGCTACACCCCTTCCCCCATGATACGTCAATGAACACTTTTTATTTCACGCCCGTGAACTATATTAATATTCTCATGCCCCAACCACTTTTAAACCGTTCATTTTTTACACAATAATTAAATTGTGACGATTTCATTTCTGAAAAGAAAATGTTACGCACCAAACGCAGTTGCGTTATTAAATATATATATATATATATATATATATACATATATATATATATATATATATATATATATATACATATATATATATATATATATATATATATATATATATCATTTAACGTAGTTATCGGGAATTGTATTTTGCGCGCTAGTGAACTCATTATTGAACCACACTCTGGCGTATCTATATAAAGCCTGCTTGGTGGTGGTGGTGTTTGACCTTTGCTGGCGAATTATATATATAAATAGTATATAATATATATTTTTTGTTTACTATAATTTTTAGTGATGTATTTTTTTATCATATTTTAAAACAAATATTTTCTGTATTTAAATAAAACTGTACATTTTATTAAAAGAATTAAAATTGTGAGCAAATGTGTATTTTTTTAACATGTGCTTTTGCGTTGTTTATTCGAATGGAAAACAACAAAGCATTATCTATATAAAAATGTCAGAAATAATATTGCAGCCTTATTAATTGTTTTGGAAACAAACTTTTAATTTTTTTTGAAAGGGATTAATAGGGTTAATGTTTTCATTTTCAGATATTGGCATTAGTATCAGTCTATTAAAAAGTTTTTAGCAGTGAAAGATTTGTGAAATGATATTACGAGCTGCAAGACTTTCAGTGGCTTTCTTTTTATTCTTAAGGTTTTTCATCGACCACTACTGTAAGTTTTTAAACAATGTAATTCTATAATTCAAAGCCCCCCCCCCCAACCATCCAAAAAAATTTGAGTAAATAATATATGAGTTTAAAATGCATCTCCTTTTAAGTATTAAAATCCATAAAATTAAAATTAAATGTAGTACATGGGCATTAGTTTTTAAACAATGTAATTATAAAATTCCAAACCCCCCCCCCCCAACCATCCAAAAAAATTTGAGTAAATAATATATGAGTTTAAAATGCATCTCCTTTTAAGTATTAAAATCCATAAAATTAAAATTAAATGTAGTACATGGGCATAATCTAAACATTTATGTAAATCACCTGTTTGGCAATAAAATAAACTGAACAACATAAAGAGGGACTTGTACAATTAATAAAGTAATTTAAAAACGTTTTTGAAATTTTAAATTTTATTAAATAAAATAAAAAGAAGAGACTTTTCTTGGAAATAATCTTAATACTAAAGACACAATCAAAAGACATCATATAATAATAATATAAAAAAAAAACTAATTATAACTAAAATATGGTGTGCGTGTTTTTCTTTAATATATGTAATTTTAACTATGTTTAACTATGTTCTCTTTGTGACTTCTAGTGGTGATGTGTGAGGTACTGTCTTGTAGTCCAGCTGAAATTGGAAGTGACCATGAAGTTAAATTTAATGTTACAAATAAGTGCTCAAGTGGCGTCCCAAGACTCGAGTCATATGAAGGTGTTTTAACGAAATGTCCGAATTACACAATTAGAGAAGACGTAAAGGAAAGGTATAATGTTACTCTATCAAAAGAAAATAGTCATTATAACATCCTGACACTGTTGATTTACAACATCTCAATGCCTACATCAGGACAAGTCGTGTATTTTAATCTTAATGAAGACAACACATCAAAAAATGGAAACTGTACTATTTCAGTTTATCGTAAGTATAGAAGTGCTATGTTATCGTCTTAAGTGGTTATTCGTCTATCGCGAGAGGTAGGTTCCAGAAACCATCTCGAAATTCGAAAATCTGCGAAGTAGTGACCTTATATTTAACCTATTATTTGAACATATTTTAATGCTTACTTATTATTAAGGTAACGGATATATTGTTCAAAATTTTACGTTTTAATGTAAAAACATCAACATTCTACGTGTGTAGGTTTCTATTTATTTTTATAGTACTTTTATTATATTTTTAAAATATTTATTTTGTTTCATTTTAGAAAAAGCAGACGATTTGAATTGTACTTTTAATATAACCAATGAGGGACTTAAAGTGGATTGTTTGAGTTCTGAGATATACCCAGGTGGTCCGTGTGCATTTGACAGCAATTTAAAAAATGCAAGTATAATAATGTATGCACTTATATATTCCCCCTTGCACTAGAAGAAAATTACAACTTGCAAGCGATGATCCTAGACTAAATATATCGTGCAACTCTGAATTTATAAATCGGTGTTTTAGACTTCGTGTTTTCAATGTGTGTTTTACTTTTAATTGATAAAAGGTATTTAAAAGGGTCTTGATCCCTTACTTACCATTTTTTTTTAAAATATACTTTTTAAACACATAATGTCAGTTATTTCTGTTTACATATTCTATCATTTAACTATTTCAGGGTACATTCATAAAGGAAGATACCAATCTTAATTCGTCAAGCAAGAGTCCATACGTCACTAAGAAGTGCACACTTGAAGTCGCAGTAGCGAACTTGACATGCGGGTTACTGACAGTTAACGTAACAGTTTACCCTATTGTAACAGGTCATGTAGATGACAAGTACAAGTACGGAACACAATCAAATGTTTTAAAACTAGGTTTGTTAGCAAGAAAAGACCACTAATATGTTACATTAAAATTTGAAAAAATTTAAACTGTCATTACGATTATTTTGTAATTGTTAGTTATGCCTCAAGAAACTCGTTAACCATATGTGTATAAACTCATATCTTACTTGCATAGTCCCCATCTTATTTACACAGAGAGACCATCAGTGAAACTAGACAACTGTAAGCCAGTTGTAAAAGAAGGAGATAATGTAACTTGTCGTTGTGAACGAACTGACTCAAGTGACATTGATAGTTCCATTTATTGGTATGATAACAGTACACATTTCAATGTCAGTGACGGATCTGTCTCATTTATTGCAAACAGAAGTATTGAAGGTAATTTATCTAGTGAGATTATAAATATATAACGATAGTTATGAATGTCCCATAATATGTTTTCACTTTTAAATATGTTTTAGGATTTATTTTACTCTATAGAACTGTGGTCGGTAAATCGCGACTCGACCAGAAATCGGTTTTGGCATCATTTGAAAAACATCACTCTTGAACAGAAATTAGGCTCTCAAAAAAACTGAATTGGCCTAAGACTGATTGTTGTCTCGTTTGACTCATGAGTTCGCCGACCACTGATTTAGAAGAACAAAACGTAAAAAAGGGCAGAAATAAGTTTACTAAATAGACGGCAGCAAAGCTTGATAGATTTACAATACTCAAATGTAATTATAATATCAATTCTAATATAATAACTACAAAATACTAAACGTAGAAAAGAGAGCACAAACATATCACCCGTATCACATGACTATTAATACACACAATAGAATTGGTGGAAGTGGTAATCCACTAAATGAATAGGAACCACTCCTCACACTTACAATATCCGTCTCTGATCTACTCTGTACCTGAGACAAATCTTATTCTACTCCAAATTAACTCGAGAGTTACTAGTTTAAACTTACAATGTGTGTCACATTTTGTGTCCCCTATTTTACACGTCCAATTGCACTCAACTACCCTCAGCCTCATTCTGAGTTTCCGCTCCACCCATCTCCCACTCCACCTTTAAGACCTGTTCAATTTCATTACACTTAAAAAAAATAGCTCAATCCCTCCTCATAAGAATGCACAACCGCAGTTTTTGATATAGGAAAAATTAATAATTTAAAAAATAAACCAAATAATTTAAGGCATCATTAAATGTTCTTAACGTGGAGTCTTTGATACTTCGTAGCATAAAGAAATAAACGAAAACCTTGGAAATAACATGTGTTTCTAATTTGCTAGTTATAAGACATTCAACATTTAATATAAAATGTGATTGAATTCTAACACTGTGCAGGTACGGAGTTTAAAAGTGAAAAAGCAAAAAAAAAAAAATTACTGAGTTTTTAATAGGGTCAGAGGCGTAGCGAGGGGAGGGCAGGGGGGCAGATGTCCCCGGGCGCTAGCTAGTTAGGGGCGCCAAAACGTGCTTTGATATTATATTATTGATGAAAATAATGGGTTTGAGAGTTGAAAAAAAAGAAAAAGGGGCGCTATAAAATAGATCGTGTCCCCGGGCGCGAAACTTGTCCCCGGGCGCCAAACACCCTCGCTACGCCTCTGAATAGGGTAGATGTAGAAACAGCAGGTTTTAGAAGTCTGGAACATTGCATGGCAGATTTTCATTGTTACGTTTTATAGAACATTATTTTTGTACATTCCATTTTTCTTTTGATTATTGTTTTTTTTTTAAAAAGCAACAATGGCTGATGGATGAATGTGAATATTTGCGGAATTTTTTTTTTTTTTTTTTTTTTTTTTTTTTTTTTTTTTTTTTTTGTATTGTTTAATAAGGGAAAGTTGAAATACATGACCGCTGGTGAAAATACTTGGGGCTAAAAAGGTGTGGGTAATGATTTTATAATGTGTCAATCTATTAAATAAAAGGCTAACAATTTCAATATGTTCAATGAGATATAAAATACTTCGCGGATGCTGACTTTCAAGAAACTTATCAATGAAACAGAGCAGGTTGTTTTGGTTTATGTATGTGATGTGTGTGTGTGTGTGTTTGGAGGGAGGGGCTGGGGCTGTGTATTAAAATTATATTCGTTTAAAAATATTACAATAATAAATTTGATTTATATTCAAGAAAAATATTATTGCCAGTCGGCGAACATGTTTGGATGGAAGAGTGACCCTTTATGGTATCGACCCAAAATATCTTGTAAGTAAAAATTAACAAGGTCTTGTTATTACGTTATAACTTTTTAAAAATTATTTATTTGAATAAAGCTTTTTAATGTTAAATTCCCACTTAACATTTCATCAAAATCGTTCATGAACTTTATGCTATAGTATTAAAAACATATTATTATATATAAAGTTCTTAATTTTGCTATAACCTTTACAGAAAGATTTCATTTTATTCAATCTGTTTGCATATTCAACATGATATTTCAATAGAAAATATTTTATAAGACAGTAAATAACATTTGAAAATAATTGCTATTAGTTATATAAACAATTGATAATTTTCTGGTATCCTTAATTCGTTAAATAATAAAATTATAACATTCAGTATATTCTATTTTCACAGTTCCTCAAAAAATTACAAACTTCTCTGTAAATAATATAAAACTTGAGCGATGGGCGAACATAAGTTTCTACTGCGAAGTAGAAGAAGCAGATAATCAGTCAGTTGAATTCACTAAAGAAGGGAAACTATTAGAGTCGTCCAATAGTAAGACAATAACGTGGAATATAACTTCTGCAAGGTGTAATGATACTGGCGTGTATAGGTGCAGCGTTAGTAGATATGGAGAAGGGACCTATGCCGAATTAAACGTTACTGTTTGTGAAAGTGAAATTTCTTACAAAGGTGCGTCACATAAGTAGGCCTATTTTGGCGTGAAATTTAAATTTTTAAAAAAACAACATTTTACCCTTAGAATAGTACCATTTGCGAATTCGATATAATTGTCATTTATGTTTAATTTCCCTTTTTCATTTATGAAAAAAAAAAAAAAAAAGAAAATTTTGCATCACTTACAAAACCAAGCAAAATTCATTATTTTTAGGATATTTTTGTAGTTTCTAAAATATGGTGTATTTATTGGAAATTTATAATTGTCCACTTGCGTATGACTAATTGTACATGAAAAATAATACAGATACATTTTTAAGATTAAAAAAAATAATTTAAAATGGTTACAAGGTCCAGAATAAGACTTCATTGTCAACATCCAAACAATAAATCACGTAGATCAAGTATACCTCTGTTCGGATTGAGTTACCCATAGATTTCAGGCAAAATCGATACATTTCTATTTAACATGAGACAACTGTCATTATCAAACTCTCAGAAGAAGGTGCTATTCAGTTACGTTTTAAGAAAGAATACAATACCTTTTTTTATAAAGCAATGCACACAAAAAAAAAAAAATGAAAATTTGCAACAACTTTTATATTTTGTTAGTTATATAATTATTTTTTACATTTAAAATTAGTATAAGACTACCTATAGCCCGCCCAGCGATTGCGACCGCAACAGGGGAACTTTCCCATCTATTAAAGCTACTTACCATTCATTCAAGTAACGCGGATTTCAAGATTACAAATATGTGCTGCACCCCGACTTCTACTCAACCAACACTAAACTATAGGAATATTTGAACGCCCCGTCCGCTTTTACAACGCAGACTTATTACAATTATTATTTCCGAAAAATAATAATAATTACGCAGCAAATTATTTGCGCTTTAAAAAAAAAAAAAAAAAAAAAAATTAAGCCCTTTTTTTTTTTTTTTTTTTTTTTTTTTTTTATTATTATTTCCGAAAAATAATAATAATTAAGCAGCAAATTATTTGCGCTTTAAAAAAAAAAAAAAAAAAAACATTTAGCGCCTTTGTCTTTGTCGAATTGTTTATTTTGTTCAATCACAGCCATCTGGTAGCGTTAGTGACATTGTTACATATGTTGTTGAAGTGTTTGATGTTGCTAGTAAAAAAAATAAAAATAAATAAATAAACAGGCATTTCTCATTTTAGTTTTATCCTTACTGCTTTTAAACTTAGATGAATCACCAGATGGTAGTAATTCACTCGTGACTTGGATTGCGATAGGGGCGGGTAGCCTGGTAGGAACGCTGATTATTCATACAGTTTTATTTACAGGTAACTTTAATTTAACTTTAGTAGGCCTTATTTATTTTTCGTTTTACATACATTTTTAACACTTTTTAAAACAAACAGTTCATATTAGGCCAAAAGAAAAAGAAGAAAGAGAGACTGTCATTTTTGGAAAATGCTACCTTTAGGTTATGAATGTATTAATAAAAAGAGTTTATATAAATAATTAGAGCTGATTACTGTATATCTAAATTAAATGTGTGCTACATTTTTATTCCTAATTCCTAATTGTAATATTCATTGCAGTCATAATCAAGTTGAGGATGTATACGTAAGTTTTTGATTATACTGATATGCATGTCATTTTTTCAACAACAAAAATTTTGTCAAAATAATTTTTTTTTAAAGCAACACATATTATTTGTTCAGTAACGTTTAACGACTTTTGTACGTTTTACGATAGCATTAAACTTTTGTTTTTTTTTAAAGTAATTTTGTTTACTTCTGAATTATTTTTAAGGACCATATTTTTGTAGCTGTGTTATAAGAGAAATTGTTTTAGCAATGCTTTGCTATAGTTTCTATTCCATTTTCATGGAAGAATAAAACTGTATTTTTGTTTGTAAATTAATTTTTTGGTGGGCATCCGTGCACGCCATTGTGAAGATGGTGTAGACTTTGTTTAAGGAAAGCACAAGGCCTGCGCATTTTTTTTATGGGGGGGGGGGGGATGATATTAGGCAGCGCTTCCTTTTATTTAGATTAAAGTTCATTTACACTTTTGTAATAACGGGTTTTATTCTTGGAACAGATTTTTCTTTGTTTAAGGAAAGCACAAGGCCTGCGCATTTTTTTTATGGGGGGGGGGGGGATGATATTAGGCAGCGCTTCCTTTTATTTAGATTAAAGTTCCTTTACACTTTTGTAATAACGGGTTTTATGCTTGGAACAGATTTTGAAAAGCTCCAATATATTGTATTAAATTTGAATTTTTTTAGACCACAATTTGTGCTGAAGAATGTTGCTGTAAACAAGGAATTTCATATGAACGTTTATTTGTTGAACATTTCATTTTTACTTACATACTTTCAAAGATTCATGAAAGTATAACTTTTTATTTTTTAGTTCAGTTAAACTGACATAGTGTTTAGGAATCGTATTAGAAATCTTATAAACTTTATATTCATTGTATGATTTTAAAAGATAACATAAATTTTATGAATTATATAAATTATCAATATATATATATATATAAATATATATACTTACTATTTTTAAATAAGACTTCTTTAATCTTGCAGAAAAATGAAGTGTCCTAATAAACATGAAGGTAAATTATACATTGTTTTTTCTTATTATTAGTGACAGTCATAAGTTTAAAATTGTTTAATTTTGTATTAGTAATCTGCTGCGCATAATTAATTCTGTTTAATTACTAATATCCTATTTATTTTTATAAAGTATCTAAATACTTTGTACTGATTTAGCAGAAGGCTCATAAAAAAGATTGTTTATTCTCAGTTAAAATCAACAACAGTGACATACACAACCTTAACCTTGCTTGTGGAGATGGTAAGGAAGCACAGATGTATTGTCCAAAAATAAAACATGCATTAACTTGCAAATCTAAGTTTGAAACGTTATTCTTTATAATTCTAATTGTTAGGAAAATGACAGCCCAAAGAAAGCACACATTTTTAAAAATATATTTAAACGTAGGCAAAATGAATACTGCTTTATTGAATCAATATGCTTTTCATAAATCACTTTATTATTTTCTGATATATGAAACAGTCTTCATTGCAAGAATCGTTTATTTCTCACAATAGCAACCAAATAATGTGCAGTGCTTTGAAATGAAATATTTGTTACGAGGGTGGAGAAAAGTACATTACTCACTTCTTTTGTTAATGTGGATCTGTTTAAATTTGATAGCCTTGCTGTTTTGTTCTCTATTTAGCCGAAAGTAAACCATTTGTTAAAGTGAAGAGTAACAACAACGTGGATGCTAGCCCTGAAAATCAAGTCAACTATACTAACATAGCCTCACGATAACAAAACTAAGGATGTCACCGCTCAAGACAGTTCGCATGTGCTGGGGACTGAAGATAGCAATGTGACTATAGAAAAAGTCTTAAACACGAGAAACGACATTTAGCTAGAAGAGTCCAAGAAAACACAATTAAATCCCAACTAAAATTATGCACGCTATTGTGTGATGAAACCAGGTATATCTTAATAGGTGTTATTCAATTTTTCATAGAAATACATGATTTGAAATAGCTATTTTATGTGTCTAATATTGTAATATAATATATAAATCAATTTTTACAGATACAATAAAAAAAGTTATGAAATTATATATTAAAACATAATTAAAACATAATTAAATTATAGGTTTGTATTTTATATTCTATTAAAAACTAAGCACACTTTCTCGTTTTTAGCATTCATGCGTATTTGGATTTATCACAATTTACTAATTTGCCAACATTAATTTATTATATTAATCGCACTGTGTGAATTACCCTTTTTTTGTCCGTCAAGGTCTAAGGATTTCTTTGTCTTTATACCAAGGGGGTCGTCAATAAAATACGTCATCCCCCGGAAGTGGGATTATAAAACGAAGAAAGTTTTTTTTGACACAGAGGAGTAGTTTAGATCTTATTTGACGTCATATATCTTTCAAAAGGAACAGTTGAGGCGACAACACTAGACACATTTGTGTCTATTGCCTCAAGCCTTCAAACCCCTAGTGCATAATTTCCTCATCACCACCAGTAACAGAAACATTGCAAATCCCATCTACATGCATAGGAGCC